AATTGAATTGAATTGAATTGTAAAACGAGACATTTGGATGAACTTTAAGGCCGATTATTTAGTGTGAATATTGATCAGACGGGTTTTCCTGATATTTTTATACAATTTTCAGTCTGTATGATTTATTTTATTTAACAAAAATCATACAAATGTAACAATCATACATACTTAAGAGGCTTCTTTTTTTCAATTTCTATCTTGAGTAAGTGGGTGATGATTTCTGGAAAAAACTGTTGAGTTTTTCAAATGTTTTTTTTTTCTTGGTGCTTTGGACACTACAAGCCGTGGCCGAGTGCTACCTGGTTTATTATATTGGAGAGAAGGAATACGTCTCCAGAGCTCAGCAACTCACACCAAAACAGTCTAGATGGATAAATTGCACGACGCATTTGTGATTTTGGGGTGAACTTTAAATTAAACAACACAACTCAATATATATATATAATTGAATTGTCTTTAATAATCAAAAGATACTAAACAAGTAAAAGACACAGCCAGCCACAGACAGTGCTCCAGCAGAATGTCATTTGGCTATAAAACAATACCAGCACATAAAAGTAGGTCACAGATATGGAGTTTGGATCCAGTGATGTAGCTATGGGATACGGATGCAGATGCATTCAATTAAATTAAGACATTCACATTTTGCTTATCAAATTCCTATGAATGATGAATACTCACACAACCAAACAAGCTAGGTCAGATCATGCGGCAGGTATACAGCATTGCAGTGTTAGTTACGACAGTTATTAGGCCTTATTCTAAAGATTATGTTTATGAGGTTAAATGTACAGTGAACGTGTAAATACGTGCAGTCTCCACGCTTCCCTAAATCAACACTGTTGACCTGCACGTTTGTTTTCCACGTGGAGAACCCAACTAAAGCATTTTTAAGTGCACAGACATACACACACACACACACAAATACAGAAGAAGATTAAGGCCACATAGAAAAAATGTTTTCTGACTTCTGTCTTTAAACTTTAAAGTCAGAATTCTGGGGAGAAAAGGTTTTTTTTTTTCTGACTTTAAAATCAGAACTTAAATAAATGTTTCACATGTGGCCCTAATCTTCTTCAGTAGCAAAAAAGCCTGTACCTTGCTGAATAAAAAAGAAGACACATACATGTGTGATGAAAAAGAATAACATTTCAACATTAAATTACAAAGCTAAAAAAATAAAACATTAATCTATTTTAAAGGAAAAAAACTGAATCAAAATGTATATCTACATCTGTATATAAAAATGAAAGATTATAATAAGTTAATTTTTTTCAACCTATTTTTTGTATTTTTTTTTATATATCTGCAAAAGTGACTGAGAATTGCCTATCAACAAGTCTATAATCATTGTTACATATCTAAACACATAAGGTATGCAGGCATGGGTCCAACAGCAAAAGAGCTCCTTTAACGACAGGCTGGGTGGCTCTTAAAGCTGCAGTAGGTAACTTTTCTAAAATACCTTTTTGTCACATTTGCTGAAACGTTCATTATCCTACTCCTACTGCTCCTAATGGCATTTTTAAGAATCCACCGGGCCTGAACGAAAACCACCAATCAGAGCCAAGAAAGATAGCTGATTGTTGAGTCTCATTGCCAGGACATCAAATACAGACACTTTCAGTTCCAAAGCTTCAAGCCACCAACTCAAAGCGTCTGTATTTGACGCCCTCTAGGAGGAGCCAGATGAACCTGATTGTTTCACAGATTATCTGTCTCATGAACTGCTGTCAGGATAACATGCAAACATGACGAAACATTTTTATAAAAGTTACCTACTGCAGCTTGAAACAGACAACTGCACAAGTCACATGTATTTGAGAGGATTTCATTTGCTGCTGCACCACAGCCTGTTAAAATGTCACAGTGGGTTGTAAAACCCTACACAGTAGCAGCGAGCGGACAGCACACCCCTCAGTTAGAGTATGGGGAACAGAGAGCAGCAGAGAGGCAGGCTGAACCATGGAAGTTAAACTGCATATTATTCATCTGTAGGCAAACAAAAGGAACGGTTTGTGTATTCAGATGCATTCAAGTCCATATATGTGAGTTGTGTGGCACCACTGCAGTACTGTTTAGCGCTCAGCACTCCCCTGGGGTTTTATTTAGTGTTCTGTTAGACCAATCAGTTCTTTCCAAGGACCACTCAGACCAATACAAAGCTAGATGAGGTAAAAAAAAATATATAAAAAAAGAAAACAGAAGGGGAATACATCGCCCTCTGCTTGCCTTGCCTTCCTGTGGCCCTTACCCAGAAACCTGGGGGTGGTTGAATGCGGTGTCCAAATGCTCTGCCTCTCCATATGAGTGCACCCCTTTCTGAAAGGAACGTCGGGACCACACTAATAGCAATTCCCTGATGCCGGAATGAATGATTAGATGAGAGAAAAGAAAACCACTGGCCGATAAGAATGTGTGCACGCTTCATATAAAAGGAGCAGAGAATGAGGACACAGGTTAAGGCACCTTGGAACCCTGATAAATCTGAGGCACGTTCCAGGACAGTAACTTTGAAGTGACCCAGGGTGTGGTTAGCTCTGATCTCCCGCTCAGGTGTCAGGTGGCCCGCTGCACTGTCGTGCACCCTAAAATGTGTCCGCAGTGGGCGTTTGTGTAAATGTGTTGAGCTCTCTCCCGTCGTTCCCCACCTCCGTCTCATATGCCCCAGGAAGAACAGCATCTACTGATTACAGCAACTTGTGACAGAGTCTGTAGTGTGCTTTACTTTCTGGCCTGTGCATTTACAAGCATAGAGTTAAAGGAACAGTTCCACATTTTAGGAAATTAAAAATGTTTGGATTGTGTATATGCTACATATGAAGCCAGAGCTAGCAGGTGGATTAGCATAAGGAGTGGAAGCAAGGGCTAGCAGCTAGCCCGTCTCTGTCCATTTGCCTACTAATGAACATTGAACACAATTTATCTTGTTTGTTTAAAGGACCAGTGTGTACGATTTAGTGGCATCTAGTGGTGTAGTTACCAATTACAACCCCCTCGCATCACCCTCTTGTTCCAAGGGTGTAGGAGAAACTGTGGTGGCTGTGAAATTCGGAAAAGGTCCTGCAGTTCCTCTAACCGCCACTTGAGGCTGGCTCGAACATTTAGAGCTTTAGAGCAGAAATAAACATGTTTTGGTACAAAAAACACTTCTGCTCTCTATAGCTAATTTCTCCCGTTCATGACAACTGTACGGGGTTGAATTTTTATAGCACTCACCCATTTTAATGATATTAAGGCTTAAGGTTATGCATAATTAAGGGGCGTGGTTGGTTTGAGTGACAGGAGGGTGCCGTCACAGGCAGCTGTTTTCAGTAACAAGGCTTCATTCACGCTCCAACTTTGACCATTTTTGGATTAACTGGGAGCCAGGGGAGTCAGGACTACGAAGATGGTGACAGCCAGAGCCGACCACACTGAGCTTCACAACGGCTCGTCCATTTTTATTTATACAGTCTATGGTTTCTACCAACGGATCCTCCTAAATGTTACACACTGGACTTTTAATCCATACACAAACAGAAATGTGAAAGTGACATGCTGTGGTTTTGGCAGGAGGCGCATGCTAGAAATATTTCATAGCTGGCCGCGCTGACTTCTTGGGGTCTTATTGTCACCATGAGGTTGCTTCTACATAATAGGGTGGTACTGGTTTTCTCATCTCACTCTGAAACTAAGCCAATAGGCTTATTTCCCAAAATGTTGAAGTATTCCTTTAAGACATAAACAACACATGCACAAAAGACTTAAAGCTTATCACAAGACCAACAATGGAAGGAACAGCGCAGTTTGACATAACCCGAAATGTTCCATATTCTGACAGCGACGTAAAGACACACACAGATATGCGGCCTGACATACAACACACCCACAGCCTGTTGGTGACGACTGCAGAGCTGCCCAGTCCATGTGTCATAACGTCAACCCCCTGCCCCCCACCCATGTCCACACTTACAGTAAGAGACTACAACACACAACACGGATCTGGGAAGATAGGAAGATGTAGTGCATTGAGGATACTGCAGTCCATCAACGGGGGATTGTAAGCCCATCTTCATTTTTTCCTGTACATTAAGAACATTGTGACACAGATATATAAGACATTAGTGGCATTCAGCCAAATGTATGGAAGGATAACAGTAGTGTAGGGTGATGTGAGGCTTCATGCGTGGCTGCTGTCCTGGTGTTGTACTGACTCCCACTCAGGATGAGGGGTTTCACATCTCGAAGATGAAAAGCTCATGATAACAGTTAATAGTGGTGCGGTTACAGTTAAAACCTACAAAGCAGCATTAGTCTTAAGTTTATCTCTATCGTCATCATGACAAAAAAAAATATACTCGAACAAAACAAAACCCATTCTCTCAAAGTTGAGTCCCAAAGTGGCAAGGTGCACGAGAGAGGTTGGTGGTGACATTTAGTGGTAAAAGCTGTCACTTGGGCACCAGGCCGCGGGATTGTGGGTACAGCGGGGATCCTGGGCTGCAGGGGCTGAATGGAGAGGTCGGGGTGCTCGACTTCTTGCCTGTCCTTGGCCGACTGAGGAAGCAATGACAGAGGTTGAAACATATTGTTGGAACGACAGCTAGGGTTTCTTTGCTTCCTGACCAAATGTGCGAGCACCAGCCTGACCACAGTATATGCCTCTCGCAAATGAACATAATGACAGCTGGAGGAGAGCTACGAGGTGTTTGCCTTACCCAGACTTTGGTTTCTTGAGGCTGCTGCTGGCGCTGGCGGGTGGGGTTTGTCCCAGGCTGCTGTGAAAGCCTGAGGCGTCGACCTGGATCTCATCCTCATCCCTTAGAGCATCCTCCAGAGCTGCCGCCACCTTTGGGGCGATAACCGGCTCCTGATACTCTTTAGTGGTCCGAGCTGGCAGGTCCATGTCCAGCATCATGATGTTTTCAGCCTGGGGGAAGGGGAGCAGAACAGAAGCACACACTCACCTGACATAAACAAGTCAATCCATCTACATATTTAATACACTGACCAACACTGTTAATACTACACTGTATTGTAGTGTCATCAGTACATCGAAGCCCACCCATTTGGCTTAATCAGTGACAGATGATGAGTGTGTCCGTGGTCGTTTATATGCAGAGAGCAGTCACTGGAGGGTTATCAGTGAGAAATGTGAGGAGGATGTGCAGCTTACTTTGTATCTCATGTCAGGCCTCAACATCATGGCCATGTGAGCATGGTGACTGAGAGGCCTCTTGTAGCCAACCGCAGACAAAGGCCTGGTCATCATCTGATGGTCACTGAAGCAGACACACAGAGCCAAACAGTGTATATAGCATCATGGGAACACTGAACTGTTCTATAACACAGCATTCTATAAATGCTAATAAAACATGCAAATGCTGCTTTAAGGCTAAATACTCAAATCAGACGCTTTTTGTGGTTGAACAAAAAGTCTATTAAGGATATCACTTACAGTGTAATAAAAATAATGATACCTAGAAAAAGTAAATCTTAGTCTTTAGTAAAATAACGGAGTAAATCTTTGGTAATGTTAGCTTACTGTGAATATCAACATCAACACTTAAACTAGGTTTACATGCAGGAAAAGACATTGTGTTTAGCCTTAAAGGTACTAAAACATGTTTTCTTGCATTAGAGTCGAACATTTCTGTTAAAAAAACTGTGTTCCTCTAATCAGAGGAGCCTCCCACAGCCTCCGCTTTGAGTGGGAGTGTGAGACTGCTGCACTCATTTTAAAATGTACACAGAGAGAGACGCATCATTCACAGGAGTGTACGCTAGTTTTTGCTAAACTACTACTCTACTTAGTATTTTTATATTGTGGCGCAGTGGTTGGGACTTTTAAACTGCTGTAGAAACACCACCGCACAGCAATCTTTACCTTGATCCTTGAGCGGACTCTGTGTTTCCAGCGCAGACACTGAGGGTCTGACAGCTGTTATGCCACTGTGGTCCGCCTGTCAATCACTCCTGTCAGTGTCGAGGCCACGCCCCCTACAGTAACTGTCCTCTGCAGGTCTCAAATACATTTTTAAAATTTGCTAAGTGGGAGGGAGCTAGCAGAATTGATGGGTGTAGTTAGAATTTAACGATTATTTTAATTTCTGATAATTCTTTAGATTAATCAATTAATCATTTGTCAGAAAATAGTGAAAAATGTCCAAGGTAATGTCTTTAAATGTATCATTTTGATGATCCATAACCCAAAAGTTATTCACTTTAATATGATATAAAACAGAGAAAAGCTATTTTGAGAGGCACTTTTTGCCATTTTTGCACAAACAATTACTTAAACAATTAATCAATAATCAAAAGTTGGTGATTATTATTTTTTGGGAAATTAACTAATAAATTAATTGACTAATTGTTCCAGCTCTAATCGTGTTTACATCAAGGCAATCATTTCAAAACAGCAAATGAATGGAGAAGAGGTAAAAACTGACCATACATTAAACTACTGGTTCCACTCCTGACTCAGTGACATGTTTTATGGATATTTCATGTTAAATTCAAAACTGTACAATGAACCCAAACAGTGAACTCAGTAGCTGCGTAAATAGAGTGATTCTGATTCATTCTGAACAGATTATTTCCTGTTTAGGGAACTTTTTATGCAATTGTTTTCTTGTCCCTGATGCTTGGTCATTGTTCTATTAAACAATTTACTTTACATTTACATTTTTTTTACACGCCATAAAATCAAGAAGGCCTTGTGACCCGACCATTAAGCTTTTGGTGGGTCCCATCCCCAAGGTTGGAAACCACTGCATTAAACAATACTGCCACAAACCGTGCTCGTCCTAATTTTGACAGCTTTTACAAACATGTATGTTCCAGTTGGAGCACTACATGAAGAATGTACAAAAAAAGCATGTTATTAATATTCTGGAACTCACTCCTCTAAACGTGTGATGGGCTTCATTTTCCAGTATTCATCCTCCTCATCAAAGTAAGCCCTGTTTACTATTTTGTTTTTCTCCTCTAAGGGAATGAAGTTCTCGATGATAAGATGCCTGAAAAACACACAGACAAGTAATTAGACAGAGGCAGTAGCAGGCAGACAGACAGAGAGAGAGAGAAATAAAAGCAACACAAAAAGGTCAGATGAGACCGAACAAATATAAACACACAGACAGTTCAGTCTTGTGACTCCTGTGTGTTATTATTTATTACACTGAATCAGGAAGTCTACTGGTTTGGGTCTGTGGTCAGAAATAATATGCCTAATTCAATTCAGTTCATTAATAATTATACATTTTAGAGGAATTGGGCTGAATAGAACTAACTATCTGACCAGATCCTGAGAATGCAACAGTACAAGTTAAAAACCCTTTTTTTCCTTCTTATGCACTATTTGAGCATTGTGTTAGCAGGTTAGAGTTGGGCTATGTCTATCTAATGGTTACTATAAAGAAGCACAACAATTATAATTACCAACATTTCCATTCAGTTCAATTTTATTTGTATAGCACCAATTCATAACATAAGTTATCTCAGGACACTAGAGCAGGTCTGGACCGAACTCCTTTTAACAACATAAACCACCATGTTCTGAACAGACGCATTGCAACACAGGGTTCCCACTCTTTTTAAGCAATCATTTTCCAGGACCTTTCCAGAACATTTTCCAGGAGTTTTCTTGACAATACAGGACAGCACTCACAGATGGTCATATAAGTTACTGGTAGGCCTAGTGTTGACACTTTAATTACAGGTAAGTGGTCAGCATTTATGGGACAATCCACATTAGGTCACTTTTGTGCAACTCTTGGCTTTTATCACCAAAGCAGATCTGTCTCTGGCAAAGTGACTACAGTTTACTACAGATGTTTTCTAACTGTAACACCAATGACTCGACGCAGAATAGATCGCTACAAGTCCGTTCCACTCCACTCATCCTAACAACGGTTTAGTCTCAAACAGAATATGCACACAGGTTTATGTAAGCGAGCGTCTGTGGAGTCTGCTCCGCTTAGGTTTCAAAATGAGTATGAATGTATTATTCTGTGTCTTTTTATTGGGCATGGACCTTGCGTTACATGTGTATTGTTGAAAAAATAGACTTAAAGCATAAATAAATGCTTCAAGTTGTGGTTAATTGAGCCTACGTGGAGTCGCAGCAGAGCTGCATTCACATGGATTCAGTGAGACGGTAGGCAGACAGCACCTCACAACAAAAAAAATCTGATGAAATGGCAGGACGGCAACATGAAACACACACAACCATATGTTGCTATGGTTGCCACTAACATGACAACCCGTTTGCCTACTGTTTACCTTTGTGCAGCATTAAAATTAAAAAATGTAAAAGTCTGTGTGTCACACAGCATCATGTTCTGTTTAACATTATTATCTTATCTTTAATATCACAAACCAATCATATCCATAACGTTAACTTATGGACCACAGAGCAAGTTTTGGTGAGCAGGCATATGGAGAACGAATAAAGAGATGGCAAACTGGTCTGTAATAAAGAATTTAAAATTCACTTGTCATTCGTGCCACAGACAGACACGCTGCTTCACCTGACAGTAAGTTTAAAACCATCATTATTGCATTGTGTCTGGGTTGGAAGCCATATGCAGTTTGGACATCACTGCAGTATATTCTCCCTCCTCTGCCGAGGCAGATGGTATCTATAATAGATATAATACTGATCAATGTCTTCCTGCCAGGCCAACAGTATGATAAGCAGGCTCCATACTTGAGTTTGAGGTCCCTGGTGAGCTCGTTCTGGGTCTGTTCCAGCTCCTGGCGGTCGTTGATGTGTACCTCCTGGATGTCATGGATTTCTGCCTTCACTGCCTGCAGCTTGGCAAACAGCTAGAGGACAGACAAGGAGAGAGGAAACCAGGGTTACCATGATGAAAAGGAGAGTATTCAGCCTTTGAATTTGGCTTAGACACCTGACTTTTGTTAGGAATAATGGACTAACCAAGCAGACATAACAGTCTTTTCTTGCCTGATTTGAAATAGTACCTGGCCTATTTACTTGCAAGGCAGTTTATTATCAGATAAAGGTCTCACAAAAACATCATCAGACTTGCTGTACCTATGCTTTCACAAATGATAAAACACATGCTAGCAGTGTATTGTGATATACTGTACTAGCCAGGACTAGAGGGGCATCCATTACTCAGACCACTCAAGGTTGCAGGCGCTACCTTTTTCAGCTTCTTGGTTTTGATGTCGACCTCCTGTTGCAGAGAGCTGTAGGTCTCCTTCAACTCCAGAGTCTCTTCGTCGCGACTCTCCACCTGCTGCTGCATCTCCCGCTCTCGCCGTTTCTGTAAACGCACATGTACATTCATACATTTAAAGCACGGCTGCCTGTCACTAATTGAAAGTGAGATACACGATTTCTATCATTCAGTCAAGTAAGGGCCAGTGTACAGCAAAATGGTCATCATCAAAAAATAATGCCCTCCTGGGAAACAACATAGACCACCATGTAAAGTGCAGGACTGTGGGATAATGGCTAATAATGAACATAGGGACTCTGGGACTGCAATTGTGGTTTATGCCTTCTATGAAGACAAGTACAGACTACAAGACTTTCAAAGTCTCAGACTTGCTTTGCTGCTCACATTATAAGACTGTTGTCATGTTGACAGAAGGGTGCACAAACCAGACAACTGATCTTGAGCTTTATTAGTATCATTGGTAACACCTGTGTTTACCCTACTATTTCTTGCCAAAATGGCTGCTGTGAAAAAGGCATATAGTTACAATATTCAATGAAAACCCATGAGGCACTGTGGGGCAGATGGCAGTTTTTCAGGTGCAGATGTGATGTATCAAACAGGAAGGCAGGTGTAAAAATAGCATGGATGGGATTTACACAAGACACAAGGAAGGTCATGGCAGAGAAATAACCCTTAATCTGTGGAAACCTCAGTTACTGGAGACAGACTCAGAGTAAAAATGTCACGTCCTCAGTCTTATTAGAAACACAAACAGGGCGGTATCAACACCATCTCCACCTTCACTGTTACTGGATCCCCTGCTCCATAAGGTTTTCTGTGTGTGTTACGTCTGTCTGTCTGTGTTGCCTTGCAGGTCCCTGCTTGGTAAGCGGACTTAATCAGGGCAACTGGGAGCACCTGGCCAGTCTCCATAGGGTATTTAAGACGTGCCTGTCCAAATCTGTCTGTGTGATAACACTGTTCATGGCGATGACTTTGAGATAAATAAATACTGAAGTGTGTATATTAGCTGTACAGCTCCTATGCCAGCCTGGTTGTCTTTAACTTCAGCTGGAAGTTGGAGCTGAAAATCTTAAATCAAACTAAATGTTGTTTATAGAGTGGCAACAGTAATGTTCACAACAGCAAAGTCAAATCAATAACATGTCACTGTAAACAAATCTAAAATGTCAACAAAATTGATCTCATTCCTGACATCAAAATGTCTATAAAAAAATGAATTCATCCTGTCCCGTCCAATGTCTGCAGGTACCGCTGGTAGAGAGATGGGGGGCTAGTTAAGATATGTGGAGAACTAAGATGAACAGACTACATACATACAGCTTTTGTTGCTATTAGCTGAGCTAGCGTGCTGCACTTGTGTAAAACACAGCAGAGATGAGAGACTGCGGACGGAACAAATATCGCTTCTCTACACACTGATTAAGTATTGGCTTTTTACTGGAGAAGGTTTTATCGCACTTGCATACAGTAACAAGCGTTTTATTTGTTGTCAACTCGAGTTAACTTCATTGGGTTCAGTGCCTCCACTGCAGACTCTCGTATCTGATGTCTGCTGACTTTGCTCCGTTTGTATGCATGTATGTGTGTTTAGCTCAAGGGCCTGTTTCAAACTGGGTTTCTGTACCCATCCCTACATTATATCATTTTTATTATTTTATCGTGTGTTTCAGGCAATCTTTCGCGATGTGCATTTTCATATTGAGATGGCGGTGGAACTAAGATTTATGGGTCAGCCCTACAGTCCTAAGAAAACAGCTATCCAGTGAACATAGTACTGATTTGGGCGCTTCAAACAAACAAGAAGTTTAATTAAGAGTAGGGCTCATTTTTCAGTTGTTTGGTGGTATACCTGTTCAGCGATTTCCTGCCTCTTCTGCTCCAGCATTCTCTGTTGCTCATTGGTGTGATCCACAATGTTCTTCCCCCCTACCAGGAGCTTACTCTCCATTGCCTGGATGGAGAAAAAAAGTCACATGGGGGAGAAAAGCGGCAAGTTGCAATTGACTCTGGTATATTTCAGCAGCTGGGAACAACATGAGACAATCTGAAATATGAACCTGTACTACACCTTCTTTTCAGATCAAATCAGATACATACATAATGTACAGTAACGCAGTTTGACCAGTGCAGCTTACCTTCACTTTGGCTGCAAGCATCTCTCCAGCCTCCCTTTCCCTCTTCAAATCTTCCATCTTCTTTTGTTTCTCTCTAAGCAGCCGAGCTTTCTCCTCAGCCACCAGACTGTGATCCTCCATGATTTCCTTCTTCTCTGTCTCCAACTTCTCCTGCTGCTCCCGCCAGTAATCCCCTTTATCGTCCCCATCTTCGTCGTCCTCCTCCTCCGTCTCTCCTTCTTCCAGATCCTCGCCGTCGCTCCCTTCCCCGGCCCTCCTCCTCTGCCTCCTCCTTTTCTTTTTCCCAGAACGCTTTTGCAGCTGCGCCTTCAGCCTCGCGATCTCCTCCTGAAACTCCCTGAGCAGGGCATCCTTGGGATCCTCATTGATGCGTGGTTTATTCTTGATGTTTTTGGCCCTGTTGGAGTAGCGCAGCGTTGTCAAGGTCTCCTCCACGTTGTAGGATGCTGGGCCAATGTTGGCAACCATGACAGTGCGGGCGTTTCCCCCCAGAGAGTCCTGCAGCAGACGGGTGAGTTTTGAGTCTCGGTAGGGGATGTGGCTGCTCCTGCCATCCACAAGAGCCGATATGACATTCCCCAGAGCAGAAAGTGACAGATTGATCTTTGTGGCTTCTTTAAGCCTCTCCCCCTGAGCGCCAGTCTTGGTCTGCCTTTCACTACCGGCTAAATCTACCAGGTTCAACTTGCCAACTCTGATATGGTTCTCCCCATCCACACCCAGCTCACTGCACTCTACAGTGATGACGAAGATGGCGTGAGAACGGGAGCTGTGTTCATTCATGTTAGTGGCACCCACTGAACGATTCTGGTTGCCCACATTCATGACATGTTCAATCTCACGCACACTCTTGGTAACAAATGATGAAAGGTCTTTGACATACACACCCGTGTCAGGCCTCTCCCTGAGCTCGAGACGACGTGACTGGTCCTTAGAGAGCAGGTCTTTGATCTCCTCTTGGTAAATTTCTAGATATGATGCTCTCACCAGGTACTGCTGATTCTGGGACCGTGAAATGTGAGTGAAGATGTGCTCAAAGGAATTAGGAATCACCCCTCTCCTCTCTGGATCGTTTCTCACCCCCTCCATAGTATATGTTTTGCCTGTACCCGTCTGCCCATAGGCAAAAATGGTCCCATTGAACCCAAGAAGAACTGAATCCACCAGGGGCCTGAAGGTTTCATCATACAGATCTATTTGTTTGGAGTTCCAGTCGTAAACCGAATCAAAGGTGAAGACTTTGGGGAGTTCATTGGCTGAAGCTTCCCTGGGGTTCCTGACACTAATTTGGCCAAATTTGACGTCGACAGATACCACCCTTTCAAACTTGGCCGCCCGCTCTTTTTCATTCATAGGGCGACATCGGACCACCACCTTGACAGACTCGGGGCTCTTACTCTTGGACATGTTGCAGAGCGGCTGCCAACCCAGGTGGCTTGGCACTTTGTATGCTCTGTCTTCCAAGTGCAGCTTCAGGAACAGTGCACCAGCACAAATGCCCACATCAGAAGCTGTTGGAGAAGACACATTCAATAATGAGTAACAACCTACAGTGGCAACTGTAATGGTGACTCACAACCTTGACAGTTGATGCATCACACACATTTTTACTTACAAACTGAAAGACAAAAGAGTTCAACGCAACACAAAGCAACTGACAGACTTCAGCAATGATAGAGGTAGCTGCGTGGTGTAGGAATTATTCAGATACTTAGTTCTGCACTAAAATGTTCCTTGTCAGTGTTTTACTATTATAGCTGATGTTTTTGGATTCATGTTGATGCTAAATAATGTGTATGTTGCATTTTACTGTTGTAGATGTTTAAGGTGGAGCAAATTTTAACTACGGTATATACTGTTGGGTACTTTAATCTACAGACATGAATCATATTCTCGATGATCATCATGTTTGTAGTGTTGCGGTCCTGTGAGAACCACATATCTCTAAAAAGT